TCTGACCTATTACAATCTAACTTATCTGTCAAAATCTCCCTGCCCTGGAAAGTAAGCCCACCAAAAGTAACTGACCAACTCCTCCCATGACCTGGACCTGCTAAACTCTGTAAACTCAGACCCTTATTGTGCCCCTCCGATGCTTGCATCACTGACACATTGAGATCTCCCTTTCTTATTCTTTTTGTATTCTCTTTCATTTGCTTTCAGGGACTACTTCCAGATTCAAAAGAGAGAAAAAAACCCCAAGGCATGGCCACCTGGATTTTCTGTACTTGTGGGCAAATATAATTCCAACATAGATACTAAAACAACTGCCACTTGAGCTAAATACTCAAAGGTATAACGTGGGTGGCAGTGCAATAACTTTATGCCCAAAAGACTCAACACACTTCCTGAACTATCTAATTTAAAACCTTGGGCTAGGGATGTGGTAGAGTGCTTGTCTTCCATGCATAAGGCCCTGGGTTAGATCCTCGGCACACATGCACACACACATGCACACACACAAAACACCTTCATATACCAGGAAATATTGGTCCCATGAATTTTTGGAAAAACTCAAATTTAACTACTCCTGTGAAAAATGAAAATCTTTTAAATGAATAAAACTGGCCAAATATAGAAGTGAATGTCACTAAAGAATAGACAATCTAGACTCCAGAATAAACCCATGTATTTATGATAACTGATTATTATTATTTGAGTAGTGGGGATTGAACCCATGAGTTCTGTACCGCTGAGCTATACATCCCCAGCCCTTTTTAATTTTTTTTTCATGGGGTCTTGCTAAATTGTTCAGATTGGTCTCCTGCACTCCAGCCTCAGCCTCTCAAGTAGCTGGGATTATGGGCACGCACCATTGTGCCTGTTTTAGTAATTTCTTCTTTTTTTTTTTTTTTGGCACTGGGGATTAAACTCAGGGTGCTTAATGACTGAACCATATTCCCAGCCCACATTTTGAAGAGAAGGTCTTGCTAAGTTGTTTAGGACCTCATTAGTTGCTGAGGCTGGCTTTGAACTTGAGATCCTCTTGCCTCAGGCTCCCAAGTTGGGCATGCACCATCATGCCCACCTTGGTAACTGATTTTTGACGTGGAAGCCAAGATAATTCAATAGGGAAATAATAGTCTTTTTGACAAATGGTGCTGGGTCAATTGGATAACCTCATGCAAAAAGATGAATATAGATCCTATCTTACTTCGTATACAAAAATTAACTCAAAATGGATAAAAGACCTAACTGTAAGAGTTGAAAGTATAAAATGCTTAGGAGAAAACATAAGGCTAAAAAAACATAATTTGACACGATCAGCTAAAGAAAAAAATAGACAAATTGGACTTTACCAAAATTATTATTTTTTTTTTGTACCAGGGATTGAACTCAGGGGCACTTGACCATTGAGTCACATCCCAAGTCCATTTTATTTAGAGACAGGGTCTCACCAAGTTGCTTAATGCCTCGCCTTGCTGAGGCTGGCTTTGAACTAGTGATCCTCCTGTCTCAGCCTCCCGAACTGCTGGGATTACAGTGGCTCTACTGTGCCCAACCAAAATTTATGTGCTTTAAAGACACATCAAGGAAAAAAAAAAAAAAAGACCTCAGTG